CGTAGGTAGCTTTTTAGCATATATTAGCATATATGATCCATTTTGTCCGAGAAGTGGACCAGGGACCGATCTGTTCGAAGAAATCGTATTTATGGTCCGATTTGATTAAAATTCGGTACATAGGTAGCTTTTTGCCTGGATAAGCTTATAGATTCCTGTTTTCCAATTTTCATGCAATTTCGAATATAAATAGCTTTAAGTAACGACCATATCAAGGGGCGAATTCGTCACTAGGCAAGATTTTTTTGCGCCAATCAGAAAGAACGGATACTGTCAAAATATAATTATAATATATGATATATCTCAACTAATTTATATTTAGAAAGCCGTTTGTTAGTTTTTGCAAGGCTCGAGAGCGGCTGAACCAATTTTTTTGAAACTGCCACCTGCCGCACGTGTCCCAAGGATGGTTTTAGGCTGAAAAAAAAAATCTATATGTAAACGGGGCGTGGCACTTCCCATACAAACCGAATTTCTCATACATACGTACATATCTCTGAAAGTGTGCATGGTAGAGTTTTGGAAATTGGTATGGAGATATACGAAATCAATCGCATACCCTTGGAGAAAAATTTTAGCTATAGTAAAAATGGTGTGACATCTCCCATACAAACCGAATTTTTCATACTGCTTATCTCTGGAAATTTTTTGGTAGAGTTCTAGAGTTTTGTATGGAGATGTACGAAATAAATCGCATACTCTTGGAGAAAAGTTGGAACTATTGGAAAAGGGGGCATATACTGCATATCTCTGAAAGTATTCATGGTACAGTACTGGAACTTCTTATGGAGATATGTATATAGTTGAAATCAAGCCCATACTCATGGAGAAAATTTGGGCTATTTGAAAAGGAGTGTGAGACCTAAAAACCTATCGACCTTTAGCTATCTTTGAATGCATTTTTTTATTCTTCTGTAGGTGCGTTTGTGAGTGAAATCCTCCTAAATGGTTGTACGGATTTTAACGAAACTTTTTGTGTATTTGAGTGGGTCTCTGGATGGTTTAGTTTCACAATTTAATCCGAGTCACCGAGAACCGGGTCATTGTTGCCGCCAGGGAGTGCAGAGGAAAAAATTTATTTCGCTTTGCGAATAACCGTGCTATGAAATGCCGCACAACTGGAGAATTTCAAGAACGGATATAACACTTTCCTTAGGTTATTTAAAGCGGCAAATGACCACCAAACCTTAATCTTAGCAGACAAATGTGCCAATGAAAATTGTAAACGTGAATTGTTGGTGAAAATGTTGGACCAAAAAGTTTCAATAAAATATATCAAAATTTTGGGCGGGACGAAGTTCGCCGGGTCTGCTAGTATATATATAATATTATAAATTTAATGATCTATTAAACTGCATATACAAATTTTGAATAAAAATAAAAAAAATTATTTTGGTGAAAATTTTTTATAACATTTCAAATTTTTTTGTGTTTTTTTCATTTTGGAAAAACCAAACAATTGCTTTCAACTAGTTTTTATTATGTAACATTTATTAACGGAAAAGTAGAATACATTTTCTTCAAAATTGCTACTTTTTCTGCACTTTGCACTAAAAAATTTAAAATAAAAATTTCACAAATAAGGTTCCACTGAACACTTGCAAATTTTATAAGCTTTCATTCAAAAAATTAACCAAATGAGTGAAAAATTAAGTCTCCAGTGAATTATGAACACTAAATTCCAGTTTTGAAACTCAGCGTGCAACACGTACTGGGCCCAACTTTCCCCTTTCTTTTGAGAATTTTACTCAAAGTATGTATATTAATTTTTCTATCAGTATTAGCAATGATTCGTGATTTATAGATTGCACGAAGATTATCGATTAAATAGCAACCCTTAAGAGAGGTGCGAAACAAACTGGCGAAGGTTTTCATTATATTTTATAAGGGACATTTTTATTATTTTATATTCTCCGTTCAAAAATTTACCTCTGAAAAATCCAGAACTGATTTAAAGGACAGATCAAGAAATACAGGACAAAATGCGTCCTTTATTTTGAAAAAAAAATTATAAAGGACAGAGAGCTAAAATAAAGGAGTGTCCTTTGAAATAAAGGACGGATGGTAACCGTAAGTATAGTGCAGGCCATTACAATTTTTGAAGCATACTTTATAGATGATCCATCGATGTGATTTAATATTCTAAATTTTTACTCGTGTGGAACTAAGATAGTAGTTAAATCTTTTCTCTTCCGTAGAAAGATGCCCAATGTCCCTTTATGCACTTAAAATAAAATCTGCGTAAATATAACGAAAACTTGCGTAAATCTTACGAAAATTTTCGTCATTTTGAGCCACGAAAGTTTTCGTTGATTGTACAAAGCCGTTTTCGTACATATACGAAAATATCAGGCATCAGATTTTTAGTACATTTTACGAATGTATTCGTACAATTTACTAAAGAATTTAGTACTATTTACTAAAGAATTTCGTACTATTTACTAATGAATTTCGAACTATTTCTTTATTTTTTTTACGAAATTTTTGTAAATTGCACAGAAATAATTCGGATATTTAACGAAATCACTTTCGTAAAATCTGCGCTTGTTTCGTAGAATGTGCGATTTTGCTTTCATTCTCCACACTGTAAAAAACATATTACGAATTATAACACAACACTTTTAATTTGCTTTTATCGTTAATTTTAAGCGGTTTTGTTTAACAAAACGTTTTGCAAAAACGCTTAACATTATTGATTAAAATATAAAGAAAATGTTGTGCTATAATTTTAGTCATGTTTTTTATAGTGTTAATAATAAAAGCAATCATACGTTCTACGAAAGAAGAAGAATTTTCTAACTACACTGTAGTTTAGAATTAATAAAAAATGTTATTTTATCTACAGCGCGCTGCAGCGTGGCGACGAATAACTGTTACCCCAGTTTTTTTGAGAAATAAAAGGGTCCTTTATAGATTTTGCGAAAAAAGTATTTTATTGTTAATTTTCCACAGAATTTACTTTAATTATATTAATTATTTTTTAAATTTTAATCCTTATTTACATTTGGTAGCAGTGTAAACACTGAGAGAAAAGTTTATTTGGCACGCAGGTCTTCGTTAGTTACTTTATTCCATATCTTCTGTAACCATAAACAAATTTTTTCCATTTTGAGTCCCTTATACTCCCCCTTTGGTCCAACATAAGGCCTCACACTTAAAAATCGAATCGACTCGGAACTGGCGACTAGGACGGCCATTCATTCGACCAACCTTATACAGCTTTTTTTCTTTTTTGTATTTTTTTGTACAAACCCTAAGAAAAAATACACCTGAAAAAGACTTGCGTGCCAAATGAACTTTTCTCTCAAAGTTTAAACTGCTGGAAAATGTAAATAGGGATTAAAGTGTATTAAATAATTAATACAACTAAAGTAAAATCTGCGGAAAATTAACAATAAAATACTTTTTTCGCAAAATCTATAAAGGACCCTTTTATTTCTCAAAAAAAAAAACCGGGGTAACAGTTATTCCTCGCCACGCTGTATAATAAAACTTAACTCTTTTATTTATATGCATACGAATAGGTTCTATACTACATATTTTTTATTGCTTAGGCTTCATTCAATAAAGTATATTGATGCAAAGTGTTAAACTATGAGACTCAACAAAACTATTGTAGTAGCGTTGTATAGGCTAGCTTAAGTAATAGATTAATAAATCATGTAAATCATTGTAATAGTGTAATAGTCCCTTTAGCATATTTTTAGTACACGAATAGTGTAACTAGACCTTAAGATATAGTTATAAGACACCATCTTGTGAAAAGAAGAGAATAAAAGAAGACATTCCAATTTGAGCAGCGAAAGGAGAAGGTGTTTTATTTAAAACCCGGCTACCACTTTATTAACTTGAACCTGTACATTTCATCAGAAGTGGTCACAGAACCCTTCCAACGTAAGCTTTTAAAATTTCAATATGAATCGGGAAACAATTAACGCGGAGAAGTACTCGCTACTTCAATTAAAAGCGTGGTGCACGGCAGTGGGGCTCAACGCTAGTGGAGCAAAAGCGTCGCTGGCTGCACGACTTAGCGAGCTGTCGGCAGAAGCACGGGGCTTGTGTCCAGGAGCCATTGACGTGCCTGGAGGTGATAGTGTGCCAGAAAAACGCGGCGCGAAAGATACGGTGCCACCAAATATCGATGGAGGCAATGGTACAGCCAAAGAAAAAAATAACGGCGAAGGTGCTGGCAATGGTGCGAATAGCGGCGATGGACCAAACAACGGCAACGACGCGAATAACGGCGAGGGATCAACCAATGACAAAGGTGCGAATAACGGCGATGGTGAGCGTGGCAACGATGGAGCGAATAACGACGATGATGGCGATTTTACGAATGATAGCAACGGCGCGAATAACGATGGTGCGTCTAACAACGATGGTGCGTCTAACAACGATGGTGC